CGTTCGCGTGGCGGGGGCTGGCTTCTGGGCAGGGACGGAGACGCTCGCTGTTTCTCTACTCTCTCTTCTCTGCGTGTCTCCCAAGGGTTTCCTCGTCGAGAGCAAGCTGCTGAGGCCTCTGCACGCGCTGGGCGGGCACGAGAGCACCCTGGTGAAGCTCGACGCCATCTTTGCGGTGAGTTGCGGGAGGCTGGCGGTCACCGGGGAAAGCTCTCTGCCCCGGGTCCCCGTGGCGCGGGACTGAGCCGCCCCAGGGAGACCCGGCTGGGCTGCTGGGAGGGCTCTGGGGCAACGAGGGGAGAGGAGCACTGCGAGAGGGGGTGAAGCACTGTGGCCAGATGCTTCTCAGCTCAAGGCTGTCCTGCTGATGACTGAAACAACATCTCCAGGGCCCCTCCAGCCTGTTCTCGGACTCTCCCATCCACAGACACCCCCGGCTGTCCCTCACTAAACCACTTCTCACCACCCGCTCCCGCCTTGCGTGGCATCAGCAGAGGGGCACCCTCTGCTCCTGGGAAAGGCTCTTTGTTCTGCTTCCCCACGCGTGATGTCTCTGAGCGACGCTAACCTGGTTCCTCTGCTCCCCAGGCCCTCAAGATCGACAGTAAGGAAGACCTGTACCAGCTGGTGGATTTCTTCCTGAAGTACGAAGCCCAGGAGGTGGCAGCCAGCCAGGTGGGACCGCGGTGGGGGGAGCCCGGCAGAGCCAGGGGTCCAGGAAAGGGGGAGCAGAACATCTCCTGAACACCCAGGGAAGGCAGAGAGGTGGACACCAGAGAGCTGAAATGTTTCCCGGTGACCAGATGAGGGTGGTGAACGTGGCAGGGCTGAGGGGCTGTAATCGTCTTTGGCCACGGCTGGACGGAGCCTCTTGTACGTCCATTTTTGCCTGAGCTCCCGAAATTTGCCAAGGGAGGAGGCTGCGGGCAGCTGGAGGCTCCCGGGGGGGAGGCGGCTCCTGGGGAGGAGGAGGTGGTGGGAGGCCCCGTGCCCAGCTTGCTGTCCTTCCCTCCAGAGCCAGGGCAGCCCAGGCGGAGCGGGTGTCACGGGTCCAGCCGAGGCCAGAGAGGACGGTGGGTCCGGTGCCCAGAGGGACGAGCTCCAGTCCCCGCGGAGCTCGCTGGGCTCCCTCCCGTCTGGTGGGAGGCCCCGTGCCCAGCTTGCTGTCCTTCCCTCCAGAGCCAGGGCAGCCCAGGCGGAGCGGGTGTCACGGGTCCAGCCGAGGCCAGAGAGGACGGTGGGTCCGGTGCCCAGAGGGACGAGCTCCAGTCCCCGCGGAGCTCGCTGGGCTCCCTCCCGTCTGCGCACATCCACGCTGACGACGTCCTGAAGATCCTGAAAGCGTTTGTGCGGGATTTTGGCAAGCTGAGGTAGGACCAGGGGCAGAGCGGGGCTGTGGTCAGCGCCAGGCAGCTGGCCAGGGCACAGGGGTGGCTGTGGGGGGGGTGTGGACGGGGCTGGGGGTGACCGTATTGCCCTGGCTGGAGCAAGAGCTTCCCCTGCCCGCCTGCGAAACTGCAGAGGGGGAGGGAGGGTCCCACCGGGGCAGGGGGGCACAGACAGTGCCTGAGCGAGAGACGGCTGGGGACAACAAGGCGGGAGATGACCTGCAGCCCGGGCAGGGAAGCAAAGCCACGGGGCAGGCAGGTGCCAGCCGCGGGGTCGTGCTCATGGGTGCGGCGATGGCGATGGTGCTCAGGTCCGCTGAGGGCTACGGGGCTGTTCCTGACCCGCCAAGAGCTGAGCCCCGGGGCGTTGCTCTCTGTCCCCCAGGGAGAAGGACGGATCAGCGCCGGAGGTGCCGCAGGTACGGGACGGCTCCAGGGACGCGGAGTACTGGGAAGCCCTGGCACACGTCATCCCCGAGCCGACGCTGAAGCTGTGGGACGCGCTGGCGGTGGCCCTGGAGGAATATCAGTGAGTGGCCGGCAGTGCTGCTGGGGACAGGGCAGGCTGGTGGCGGGGCTGGGGGAAGGGGAGCGGGGCTGGCGCCGACCGGGCCCGTCAACCCTCTGCCCTCCTTCCCCAGCGAGGTGCTCACGCGCAGGGCCAGCCTGCTGGCCGAAGCAGGCGTCCTGCGGCAGGCGAACGCGGCGGCGT